CCCCAAAACCCCAAAACCCCAAAACCCCTACCTAAAAGCATTATATTGAAACTTCTAATTTCTAACACTCTTTGTTTATTTATAACTCTCTCAGTTAACACCTGTAACTCAGCCCATCCCTTTAGTCAAGTTAATAGATATCTTGATGTCTTCTGCCTTCCTTGGCTTTAGACATTTTTCCCTATAATTTTAGACTGAAGTTACCTTGGAACTATCTTTCTGGATAAGTTCTTCGATGATTTGTACTTTACCAAGGCCTCACTTCTTTTCTTGGTAGCTAAGTTTGGCAACTTCGTGATGAACCCCCGATGGATTAAGGATGGATTTGAAGGTTCAAAAGCGCTTTCAGGATTTTCTTCTTTGATATTATCTTGTTTCTCTAAAAATCATTCAGTAACATTACCTTTATTTTTGGAGAAAGTACTTCATACGAGCGACTGAGATTGAATTGACCTTTGTTAGTGTTGGCCTCTGCGATTTCGATAGCTTAGGAGGATTAAATTGGTCAAAACTTTTACTAAGAGATATTTTCGGCTTCTGTTGGTCTACCACCCCAATAGTAACGTATTTCTCAGGAGAGTAGTATCTCTGATTTTCGTCTTTGACAGTATCTGGAATATCGACTTGTTTACATTCGATACTTTTATAGTTACCCTTGTCTTTACCCTTTGAGAGCATCTTTAAATTCTTATTCTCGTCAAAGTACCTCCTTGTGGGTTTAGATTTCTGCTGGCTGGGATAATTCTGCTGATAGACCTCTTCAAATAAGATATCCTGGTTTTTCAACTTAGATGCATGATATTTCTGATTTATATAAGAACTACTGGAGTAATCATTTGTAATAACATGCTTCCTGTTCTGAAGATATTTGTTAATCGATTTTGTTTGAAGAATATTCCCTGCAAACTTCTTAGGAGAGTGACGTGTAGGAGATAGAGATTTTGAAGTCTGATCTACCTTCACACTTATGTTATGTGGACTATTCTCATTCAGAGATGACTCATTACGAGAGAGATCTTTCTTGTGATTATTCAGCTCTCTATCGAGAGAGGAGTTGACTAAGTGCTTAGATAAACTCATTTTTAAAACACTATTCTGGAACCTCTTCGAATGGGTTCCTATTACTCTGTCTGGCTTAAGTTGTGGCATAAGTCTTCGGATTAATGGAAGAGTAAATTTATTTCAACTTCTTTGCCTTTGAGAAATTATCAACACTTTTATTTGGGGTATCCTCATTATATCTCGGTTCAACAGGCTCAAGTTGAGAGCTTTCCAATGATTCTCGAGAATGCAATTGGTCTTCTTTCTTGAGGAACTTCTTTTGGTTCTTTTCCCTCTTGATCTTAAATTTTTCAAATGTGTCCTTTAGTTTTACCAGCCCATTCTCAAAAACATCGCTCTGAGCTATCTCACTTACTTCTTTACTACCAGAAACATATGAATTTCAGCTAGGACTTTCGCTTTTTCTAATCTTCACAGACCTAAGGCAGTTATAAAACTTGAAGTATACCTTTTTTTAGTCCTGAAAGTCTTGTAATCCTCAAAAACCTATAAGAAATGCTAGAAGTGGGTAAAACTACAGCCATGATTGTATAATATGTTATAAACTTACTCCAGTCTTGTCATTAATATTGACATATATTTCTCTTGAATAGTCCTTCATTGGAGGTGTATCTCCAGTATAGTCACTATCAACTCCTAAGATAATAACCAGATGCTCTTACTAAGTCTGCTTGTTGATTTTACCGAAGAATAGACTTCAGTCTTATCCATTTTTATTTATTGTTTCAACCTCATGAGAAATGTTGGGGTTTTGGGGTTTTGGGGTTTTGGGG